CACAAGATTATGGAGTTGGGTTGGGAAGTTCTCCCACACCCACTATGTTCTCCAGATATGGCACCATCAGATTACCATCTTTTTGTTTGCTGCAACACCATCTTAATGGGAAAATATATGCAAATGTGGAGAGGTTAACCCTTTCACCCCGGGTAGGTTAAAGTGCACGTGTCACAACGTTTTGGAGCATTATTTTCAAAATTTTATTAACTAACATTTTTACTATTTACATCAATGAAATGTAAAGAGAAAAAAATGTGAAATATTGATTTTGTGTGTCACATAACACATCCAGTTGTCTTATTGTTCAGTTCCATTTTATTATGCCCACCATACAACATGTATAAGTAGCTAACAAATTAGAAACTCAAATTTGAAATATAGACAAGCTAAATATAAAATAAGAACCTTCGACCTCTATGAAATTTGCTGAGATAGCAATATTTTTAGCAAGTCTACTAGTGGCTCTTCCCACTGCACCAATCTTTTGAAAACTCCTATCTAGTCCCACCTACTACTAATTAGCTACTGCTTATAACCAATAGAAAGAACATTTTCACCCCTACGTAACTCTGACAGTTGTTTATAAATAGCTTGAAGGAGAAAATAATAATTTTGCCAACACCATTGAAGTGTGATGGTTTAGTCGTTGCTCTGAACAGGAATGGGATTTTTTTTATCCCACATCCAGTTTATTTAGAGACCCGACTAAATTACAGGGATTTTGAGTGTACTAGTGGTCTTTTTGGTCTTCAAAAATTCATATTTGAAGTCTAAAAAAATTAGTATCTACCCCCCTCCAACCAGAAGAATAAATGAAGCTTATGTCAAGGCTTAGCAAGTTCGACGTGCGAGCAATGCACAAGTGCAACATTTCGTAACACGGTTATGTACTCGAAATCTTTGTTTGTCAGTGTATTTCTCATTTACTTTCTAAGCGTGGTGAAAGTGAGAGAGGGTAGTATCATTTATAAGAATGTGTCCAAATAACACCTTCATATACTTATGCTGCAAAATTCCACACACATCAAATGGATGACCATAGTACTGAAACACCTGCTATGTAATTGGATAAGCCCGACTCTGAACCATATGATAAATGTTTTTACACATTCTAATTGCAATTTTATTACCCTGGGAAATTCCTGTTGAAAGTGTTGTAGGAACTATAAACTGCTATATCTCATATTGTGTTCTCGGAGCAAGGGGAATGTCACCTCACTGAATACAAGTGTGTTTTTACGCTTGAGAGTTTCATATTACAGTTGTAGGTAAACATTGTGTCTTATAGCACGGGCGGTGAATTATTGCTTTTTTTGTCAGCAGGTTTGTAACTTGTCGGTGACAGTAAAATAAATACAGAAAAAATATGGGATATGTTTAGCAGTTGAAACTGTCAGAGGAAGAACTTTGAAACTTCATGATCAATAATGAAGAAAAAGGAAACATCTGCTCATTATATTTCTGATTTTACAATTTTTCTTTTCATTCTACTTCAATGAGTTGTCTACAGGCTGAAGAATCAAATAATAAATGTAATAACAGGTAAAATATCACGTTTTATTGAAAAAAAGGAATATATGTATTTAGGAGGTTTCAGAGGTTGTGCAAATGAAATTCGAGATTTTTTTAAATGAAAATCACTTTGCACTCAGACTAGTTAAAAAAAAAGAAGAATCGATATTTTCACGTTCAAATATAAGTAAAAATACTTCATTAAAAAATCTAAATTTTTGTGTGCAAAAGGCTTTTAATGTTTACTATAACTCTACAAAATTTTGTAAAGATACACTTAAAATATTAAAACTTATAGCATCAAAATTATAACAAGCACAAAATGGTTATGAGATCGGTAACAGGGACCGAGCCCATGTCAAAAGGGTTAAAGAGGACATCGATATGTTTTTGCTTCAAAGCCAAGTGATTTCTTTAATTAAGGCAAACAACCTAATTGTAAGAGGGAAAAGCATCATCAATAAGAATAGAGATTATTTCATTTAATAAATGTTTTGTTTTTGATATATAAGTTGTTCGGGTTTTTTTCATTAAAAAAAGCAACATTAATTTCTTGACGACCTAATATATATTCATACAGCACTTTTTCCTGTATTTCATTAAAAGTATTCATAGTTTTTTAAACTTGAGTTCACTTCTAAAGATTTGATACTTATACTTTTAATTAATGTACTTGTATGGTTTGATATTTATAAATCTAATTTACATAATCAAAAATAAATTTCAAATTGTATCTAAGTTTGTATATTTTTGGCAAGTTTTGTCGACACTTCATTTTCATTCTCGAACACAAGTTTCTCAATATTAGAAAAAAATTTATGAGTACTGAAAGTTAACTCACCTTGTATAATAGTCTTGCTGTTTTTAAACCATTCCACCTTTAATTTCTCATCATCTACAGGCTCTAAAGTACCTTCAAGACGGACATTTTGCCCTTCTATTAGTTTTTCTTGGTTAACCAAATGCTTTGTAAAAACAGGCCTTGTGGCTGGTCTGGCATCCCACCAGACTTCAGGAATACAAGTTGAATCAAGCTCAAATTTCTGTGTTTTTTTGTAAGCTTCGGGATGTTGGCTTTCTCCGAGAACCCCCTGCCGACCTGCAAATTTATATTACACACACGTTTATTCATTAAACATCAGAATTATGAAGAACAGAATCTGAGCATTTAAAAACAGAATTACTAAATGCTGTAGTAACTGTATACAAGAAAAGTTGTACAAGGTTTACCTGTGGTAGCCATCCCTAATATTGATCTGATAGACAAGAAGGAAAACAGCACCCAATTCCAACACTTGTGATACTCTAATCTAGTGTTTCTCAAAGTGGAGAAGGGGGCAAAGAATGAATCCTGGGGGATCAGAAGGTTCACAAAAACTACTTCTTGAGTTGTATTTATAAGAAAAACAAACTTTACCGCCATCTCCTGGCACGTCAAAACTTATAGATGACAGTTTGTCTAACTGGTACCATTTTAGCATGCATATTGTTGGAAGAAGCCTGTTGCATCTGGTGTTGTAAGTCAATAAACACACCATGGATAAAATTACTTTCCTCCAATAAACAGGAGCATCCTTGTCACTAATACGTAAAAAGTATCGCACATAAAATTTACATTACCTGTGATGCACCACAGTGCTTAAAATTTTTTTCAACCAATATATATGTATGTGTGTGTGCAGTTAAGGATGTCAGTACCACAGACAAGAGGAATATGGTGCTGTCTTAACATTCTCAAAATTGCTGCTATAAATGAATAGTGGGATTTGACTGTAATTTTTAGAATGCACTTTCAGCCCCAAAATACAGTAAATGCAGTAATGAGATGTAAACCATCTACCCTTGGATTCCAACTTTGGCCAATAAGGAATAAATACAACAAAAAAATGTTAAACGTTATGGCAATAATACATTTTTCTGTACTTTACTGTAGAAGAAATACAACAAATATCGATAAGAAACAAATATGAACATTTAAAATTGTGTTAAATATTATAATTTACATAGAATTGAAAATATTTCAATATGGCTTACTTCGGACTTTGATGGAAGTTGAGGTCACAGCTTCACCTGCTAGATTGACAGCCTTACACATATACACACCAGAATCTTCAGGAATCGTAGACATAATGTCAAGACTCACTAACCCAAAGTCGTGTGTCACTTGGAACCTGGTACCTGATAAAATAAATGCATGTTCACCTTTTACATTTTAACATCTAATATTAGCTTACCTGACAAAACTATTTCTTCATGACAGTTGGACAGAGTGAATTTTACTTTACACTACTCGTATAAAGGAGATCCAATCAGGGAAGATTTTATTTCATTCTAAATAATAATACTTTATACACAAATTCTCCTTGGTGTCATGAGCTGGAGTTTGCCTTCCATGTTTCTACAAGTAAGATACATCTAAAATGGAAAACTCTTAAATCTAATTAAGACTGTTGAAATATTATGTCTTTAATGCCATAGTCATCTATACATATACTGAGAATAAAAAGTAAGGAGAGTTTGACTTTGTTAAAGAAACACAGAATACTAAATTCAGAACCATGAGATATTCCATGACTATCAGGTATTTAATCTGTTATTTCACTGTAGAATTTTCAATGGTTAACACAAAACTAACTAGAATCTAAGGAATACGGACAACTAATTAATTCTCTTTATGTCTATAACATTCTTTTTTTACAGTCTGAAACTGGAAGATGTCAGTATATTTTTCTCTTTTTTTTTCTTGATATAAAATCTAACCGAGTCTAAACTGAGTCAGCCAACATTAACACACTAATACTTTTACAAGATTCCATGATGTAAAAACTTTCCTAAGTCAAAATCAAACTCAACCAATACTTTTAGGGGATTTTGTGATGCCAAGCCTACCATAGTCGAAATCAGAGTCAGTCAACATTAATACTGTTCCACTTTTAGGGGATTTTGTGACGTAAAACATACCTGAGTCTGAATCAGAGTCTGTCAACATTAATACTGTACCACTTTTAGGGGATTTCGTGACGTAAAACATACCTGAGTCTGAATCAGAGTCTGTCAACATTAATACCGTACCACTTTTAGGGGATTCTGTGATGTAAAACTTTTCAAATCTATATCAAAGTCAACCAGCATTAATTCTGTAAACTTTTAGGGGATGCCATTATGTAAAACCCACCCTAGTCTAAGTCAAAATCAGCTACCATTAACACTGTAATACTTTTAGGGTGTTAGGTTTATTTTTAAAAAAATCAAAGATTAACAAATTAATTTTGAATAATAGATCATTGTCAATGTTATGTTCAGAACAACTTTCTTTAAAACCACGAATGAGTAATCAAATATGTATGACTAACCCATTTTGAGTTCTACTCCATTCACAAACCACTCAAACTTGAGATTAGGATCACCAACAGGTATAACACGACATTTAAAGTGAGCAGGCTGTCCTTCAACCAGTTCTGGAGGACCAGTGAGAGGCATAGTAAAAACAGGTTTTTCAAATACTTTCTCTGGGACCTCTGGGGCAGCCAAATTTCTGGCATTTTCTAGCTCTTGGATCTTTTCAAGGCCTTCTGGATGCTGTGTTTCTAATATAATTGAGGTCTTAGCTAGAAGAAAAAATAATCAATAAGATCAGTTTTCTATGATTTGAAAAATAAATCTTAAATTCAACAATTATTAAAGCTTGTAAGAAAACTGGATGTAACAAATTTACAATGGAAAATAAAGTCGTACATATTTTACTGTTGTGAAATTATTGTTGTTATCGATATTCTACTCTTCAAAAATGTTTGAGTTAATTACATTGTTTTACAATAATTCAAGAATGACCACCAACTAAGTTTGAAAGCTTTAATGGTATTTCACTAAGTTTTGTCAATTTTCACTAAATTTTCATGTCACAAAAGTAATGTACTGTGTGTAACTAAGTCAGTATTAATTCCATGACATAAAAGTAATGTAATGTGAGTAACTAAGTCAGTATTAATTCCATGACATAAAAGTAATGT